GTTTTTTGATTTCCTGGCTACTGGTGCCAAGAGTGTTGACCGTGGAGCTGAGCAAACTGAAGCTGTGAACAATCTCAATCTCTTCGCCATCCATCCTGATGCTACCGATTGGTCCAGTGGTGAAAATCTTTTTCTTCTTGACAATGAGCCTCAGTCCATATTGAAGGCTGCAGTCCTTGACCCTCTGCAGTAAGTGCATGAGGTCTTCCTCAGTTTCCGCGAGCAGGGTTGTGTCATTACCATTTTTAAAAATAATTGTCTGCATGGTACTTTTAATGGTTCTTGTTGTTGTGTACCACAGAGTCAGAACCGACCCACAGTTGACCCTCTGGTTGGTTTTCAGAGGCAGTTAATCGCACAGCAGGAAACTGCCTGTTCTCCACAGAGCAGCTGGTGGCCTTGAGCGACATGCTTCTACGACTGCAGCGCAGCTTCTTGCCACTAGGCCACCAGCACTCCCTTTATAATGGTACATCTTGTGATAAAAAAATGGAGAAAAAATAAAATTTTCTAATGGACATTTTAATAATATATTAGGAAAAGATAGCCTGATGTTGTCTTATGTACCTACAATTCCTGGGGGTGGGGGAGAAGGAAGGGTGTGTGTGTGTGTGTGTGTGTGTGTGTGTTTGAAATCTGGATGCAGGAGTGGCATCCACTTCCTAAACCACATGCTTCTGGAACATCTATGATCTTGGAGAAATGACAACAGTTATGGAAAGGCATTAGTCTTTTATTCACAGACGCGCTATGAGTCTTTCTCAACTCGTGGACAATCAACAACAACAACAACAACAACAACAACAACATACATACATACTTTTTGTACATTGCCATTGAACTGGAATTACTTCATAACTGACTGTCCAGTGGATTTTCAGAGGATGCAGGAAGACAATGCTCATCTTCCTCCCAGGGTGGATTCGAACTGCCCACTACTGGGTTGGAGGCACAACTCCCTATCCTCTGGGCCACCAGGGATCCAGGGTTGTTTCTGTTTTTCACATGTATTCAATATAACTCTGAGCAAATAATTAGAGAAACTAGTATTGAATATACCATGGACTGCTAGGAGAAAAAACAGGTTTGCCCTAGAAAGAGTGAAAACAGTCTATTCCTTGGAGGCAAGAATTCTGATGTTTCATATGACATACTTTGGGCATGTTGCATGGAGGGACCAGTCCTTGGAGAGGAACAGCATGCTTGGAAGGGTAGAGGGACAGCACAAGAGAAGACTCCTGATGCGATGGATTAATTAAGTGACTGGGGTAATGAAGGTAGGTGTGTCAGACAATAAGGTTAGCACATGATAGATCAGGTTTCAGGGCTGTTATTCATAGGGTCACTATGAGTCACAAGCGACTCGATGGCATGCAATAACAACAACAAGGCTATATGAAGAAGAATGTGGCATCAGGACTGGAGGAAGATTCATTAACAACCTACTTCACACAAATGACACAACCCTCCTTGCTGAAAGTGAAGGAGACTGGAAACACTTACAAGGACTACAGCCTTTAATAGGTACTACATTTCAACACTAAGAAAACAAAACAAAGTCCTCACTATTAGTCTAATAAATAGCATCATGGCAGATGGATTAAGAGAAAAGATAAAAGTTGTCAACAATTTCATTTTACTTGGAACCACAATCAATGTGTGTAGTAACATTAGGCAAGCAATCCAAGCCATGTTGAATTTGCAAAATCTGATTTCCAAAAGACTCCTCCAAAGTACTAAAGAGCAAGGATGTCAGTGTAAAGACTAAGGTGTACCTGGTCCAAGCCATGGTCTTTTCAATAACGTCCAACACACTTAAAAGATGGATAATGAATAAGACAGACCTAAGAAGAATCAAAACATCAGAGTTGTGTTGGAGAAGAATACAGATTTTTTCATGGACTGTCAAAAGAACAAACAAATCTGTCTTGAGGGAGGTGCAACCTGGGTGCTCCTTAGAGGCAAGGATGATGAAGTTTGGCATGGTGTCAGGAAGGGCTAGTCCCTGGGAAAAGATATCATGCTGAGAAAGGCAGAAGATCAGATGAAGAGAGGAAGAACTCCACAAGAGGAACTGACACAATGAGTTTGACAATGAACTTGAACATGAGAGAAACTGAGGATGGTAGAGTACAGGGCTTGGATGAGATCTATTACTCATAGGGTCATCACGAGTCTTGGTTAACTCAATGGCACCTAATATCAACAACAAAATATTCACACATATATACATGTTGTTGTTATGTGCCATCGAGTTACTTGCAACCCATAGCAACCCTATGTACAAGAGCCTTAAATGCTGCTCTATCCTGTGCCAATCGCACTGTCTCTGACACATCCATCCGATTACACTGAATCAATCCACCTCATAGAGGGGCTTCCCCTCCTGCCCTGTCCCTCCACCCTCCCAAGCACGATGTCCCTCTCCAACGACCAGTCCTTCCTTACAACATGTCCAAAGTACATCAGACGGAGTCTCAGAATCCTTCCCTCCAAGGAGCTCTGCCCAGTTTAACATATATACATTGTTGTTGTTTTTATGTGCCCTCAAGTCATATATACATAAATATATTAAAAATAATCTACTATGATTTTGGTGAATGTTTACACAGCAGTTTAAATTCACATTCAATGATTTCTATACAAATTGCTCAGTCCTAATAATTGCATTATTCCCAGTCTGTGGACATTTTTAGTGTTTC